GATTGAATCATTTTTTTTTCTTTTTTGGAATTTGTGGTTTCTCAGTGTTTTTCGTTTTTCTTCAGATTTCATATTGGAAGATCATATCTTTTATATATTGTCTACTATGCCAGCCGGCGTCTATGAAACCAGCCGAGATGGTTTACGGTGAAGTCAAAGCAAATAACCTTAAAAATAAGAGCTTATAGATCATATAAGATTCAATATTTGTTCACGAAATTCCCCATCTGTCGCCCATTATTAGCTATTTACCCTTCTAAAATTTCCAACAACCTGAAAAGAGAATACATCTCCCTTGGAGCAAACTCCCAAACTATGCTTTTCACGTGCATCAACCTGTACATCATAATTCCATCAACACCCCTCTTTATAAAGACCCGTCGAGTATCAATTATCTTAGACATATTATTCAATTTTAACATTTTCCTTGTTGATCTATTCTTGTCAGTCTTTCTTATTTGAGAAACTTTCCTTTTTGAAAGAAAAAATCTAATTAATAAGGCTAATGGCTCTCGAGGGGTTGGTTTTCCAACACAACTATGATGGGAAAGAAGCCTACTCTAACATATACACAGATGATGAACCACCCTTTTATGATCTCCAAGCCTCTCTCAGTTTTTTCGACGACAAAACCGTAAACTACGACTCTACTTTTCTCCATGAAGGTAACAATGGGAATGCTAATACATTCCTTCATAAATCACCACCTCATGAATTTGACACTGATAAAGAGAAAACAACCCCGAGCCATGATATGAGTTCCCAGCAAGACATGGAAATGAATCAGGTAACACGGCGCAGAACAAGGGTGAAGAAAAATAAAGATGACATCAATAATCAACGTATGACTCACATTGCAGTGGAGCGTAACCGGAGAAAACGGATGAATGAGTACCTCTCTGTTCTCCGCTCTCTCATGCCTGATTCATATGTTCAAAGGGTATAACTTGTTAACTTATCTATCTACAAACTACAATCATAATTCTATACTGCATCTATATTTTCTAAAAAAAAACATAGACGAATTAATAGAAATGCCATATTTTTTCCACGTTAAAATCTTTTTTTTTCTTTTTTAACAATTCCATAAACCATTTAATTAAAAAATAGAGTAGTACTAGTAAATGAATTTTTTTTTTTGGTAAAAGGTTATGATTAGTAAATGATCTTGGTTTCAGATTTTTTTTTTATTCACAGAATCGGCAGATAACATTTTCGTTAATATTGTAGTTCATTTATCGTGCCTACGTTTTCATAGTAATATTGGATTTCACGTTTGATTTTAAAATATATCATGCTATTTTATACAAAGACAAGCTGTTCTTAGAAAATCACTCGGGATAAAAGCCATAGTAACGAAAATGCTATAATTTATTTTTGCCCTAATTATCAACCCCATATCTACCATAACCCCCTTTAAAATACAACCAATTTTAATTCTATAAAACAATTTTAGAATTTTAAGAGATTCATCAAATTCTAGTATATTAATACCTAATAAAACAACCATGACTTTAATAGTTACTTTAACCATAATGGCTTTCTTTTCAATATCCCAACATGGTCGCGTATATCATAACTACTAATTAGAATATGCGTTACATAAGTTATATGAATTATTTATTTATTTTTTGGATAAAAGAGGTAGTTTTTTTTTTCATTTTATTAAGAAAAAATTCTTGCAATCATCCTTAGGGGTGAATTCATTCATTCACCCCCTCTCATTTTAGTGAATCTGCCATGTAATATTATTTTTATATAAAAATAGAAAATTAAAATTAAAAGATTGAATACTCAATCAAATCTTTTATAAATATATATATATATATATAAATAAATAAATAATATATAAAGATTAGAATTTAGAGTTTAATTTTTATTTTTATTTTTTCAAGGTTTATAAATTATGATTTAGTGTATAAATATTAGTATTTAGGATTTAAAGGTTAGAGTTTACGGATTAGGGTTTAAAATTCCAAAAATTAAAAATTAATTATGTACAATATATATTTATTAAAAATAAATAAAAATAAAATTTAATATTATATTTGGGTTCATTATTTTCTATTTAGGATTTAATTTTTTTTATTTAAAATTCTGAAAATAAAACAAATAATTATGTAAAAATATATGTTTAATAAAAATAATTTTACAAAAAAATTTAAGATTATGTTTGGGTTCACTATTTACAAATTACGGTATATTTTTTTCCATTAAGAAAAAATATTATGTTTGGGTTCACTATTTTCTATTTAGGATTTATTTTTCTTCATTTACAATTCTAAAAATAAAACAAATAATTATGTAAAGATGTATGTTTATTAAATTTAATTCTGGATAAACTTTCATATTATGCTTGGGTTCACTATTTCCAATTTAGGTTATAGTTTTTCTATTAAAAAAATATTATGTTTGAGTTCACTATTTTCTATTTAAGGTTTAATATTCTTAATTTAAAATTCTAAAAATAAAATAAATTATTATTTAAAAATATATGTTTATTAAAAATAATTTTACATAAATTTTAATATTATGCTTGGGTTCACTATTTCTAAATTAAGGTTTAGTTTTTTCCATTAAAAAAAATATTTAAATATACAATTTTGGTAAATTACTTTAATTGATTTTATTATATGATAGATTCTCATTGGTTAAAATGAGAAGGGATGAATAAATGAATTCACCTGAATAAATGAATTCACCCCTAAGGATGAACCCAAGAATTATTATTTTATTAAAATATGGGAGTTTCAGCTTTCACCCCCTTAATCTCTACGATATCCGGAATCAGACTTAAAATATTCGGATCTAAAGAATAATTATTCTTCCTAAAAGGAGATTAAACCCAGGACATAAGAAAACCAATCCCCATAGTTCCAGTCGGCCACTACCCATTTCACAAAAAAGTTGTCGTAGTGAATTTCTCCTAATTGTAAAATTTACATGCATAGTTCTTTCGCACTTATGAGTTTGATGTTTTTTATTTTCATGGTTTCAGTGTGACCAAGCATCAATTGTAGGAGGTGCAATAAACTTCATCAGAGAACTCGAACACCATCTTCACCTCCAAAACATCAATGCCGAGCCAAACGGAAAACCTTTTTCAGGAAGCAATATCTCATCCGCCACACCTTTCTCCGACACCTTCAAACTTCCCCAGTTCTCAATGGGTTCTTCCTCTGTGGGAAGGAATGTGGCTAACGATTTGGCTGATATCGAAGTAAGCCTCGTCGAGAGCCATGCAAGTCTCAAGATCAGAACAAGAAGGAGACCGAAGGTTCTTCCCAACATTGTCTCTGGTTTACAGAGCTTAGGGTTTATCATTCTACACCTTAATGTCTCCACTGTTTCAGACTTTGTCCTCTTCTGTTTCTCCACTAAGGTATGTGTCTGCCTAAATCACTATTTATTTACCTCTGATTTGATAATGCTACATAATAGAAACAAACTCAAAGCAAAACACACACACAAACACACAACCAAAAAACTAGATTTATATACACAAAAAAACATATCTCTGTGTAATTTAATCGTAAATCAAATGCTAGGCTAGCGCTTAGCCTTAACCTAATTATTTTTATCTTGTCGCCTAACCTAATTATTTTTATCTTGTCGCCGTTGATGACTAATAGATCATTATAATAATATTCGGCTTTTTAAAAATATGTTTAACTATGAAGCTACTTTTTTTTTGGTGCAAAACTATGAAGCTACTTAATCTGTGAATTCTAGACCCGTCTGGCAGAGACAGATAGACTTAGTCACTTAGATATACCACTCATCACATGCAATTTACATTTTGTTAATTTCCGATTAATGATGTCGTCACCTAAAGATGTTAGTAATGCTGTCTTGTTTTACCAAAACATTATATAGCACATTTGTTTATGCCGTACGTTTATAAAATGTAATTCTATAATCTTCAATTTAAATGTTTAAAATATTTACTATTGTTTCATGTTTTGGCAACAGTATATATAGATGGTTGAGCCAAAATCTCACTCATCAACTTTACCATATGTTTTAAAGTGTTTTATGATATATTTTTGTTAAAATATTATTAGCTTAAATGTTTAAATGTTACACCATGCTATCATTACGTATTAAATTATATTTTTATCTTCCCATTAATACCATTGATCTACAAAATGATTTCTCTACTATTATGTTTGCATCAGTTAATTTATAACGTGTATACTGTATTTTATACTTTTGAGAAAAGGGTTAACGCAATGTACTTTATTTATAATAGGAATAAGAGTATAAGATAGAAACAAGTGGTTTTTGTTTGTTGGTCTAGATCAGTGATCGACTCTTCTCAAACGCGGAATTATTAAACTAATGCTGGTCACGTAGGGTGTAAGACCATCTAATACCAATGGTAATTTTACGTCGATGGTTTTTTTAAGAACCTTTAATGGATTCTAGCATTGGACCTTAAAAATTAATAGTTTCTTAGCAAGAATTTTTAACTCAATATTAATAATAAAAAATTGCCTAAGAAACCTATATAGGTATTAGCGATAATGATGCTCTAATTGGGCGGGCGTGATCAGAAAATTAGTTGGATGTCTTAGGGCCTTGGATACCTCGAATGCTAATAAAAAAAAAACAAAAACTTAGAAAAGAATTAATCAAAGAAGATGAAGGCAACTTTTTTTTATTAAAAAAGTACTATATTTTGAATCGTTATAAAAATGAAAAGTAAACCCAAAATGAGCACAAAATGAATTTAAACTCTTTATCAAACGAAAAGTTTGTGGTGTTTTTTTTTTTTTTTGAATTTAAGATATTGTGGTAATTTGAGAAAGTAAACATGAAAAATGTTAGTAAAAAAATTCAAAAAGTATCAATAGTTACTTTCATTTTTTTCTCGTTGTTGATATGGGTTACTTCTACTTTTCTCTTATTTTTGTAACATTGTTAAAAATAACAATGCAGATGGAAGATTATTGTAAGCGTACCTCTGTCGCTGATATTGCTACCTCAGTGTATGAAATGCTGATGATTCATCAAGAGAATCATGATGATGTTCAACAGTAACCCTAAACTAGATCGATATGCAAAGTGAATCCTAGTAATGAGTACCCGGTTTGGGATCTTTTGATACGAGTTTTATATCATGGAAACTATCTGCTTTGTCTGTCGCTTTATTTATAATATTTCGTAACATACATAGATGATTCTGTCTACTGCACTTTTCAAACCTTAGTGAAGATATGGACGGTCCATTTGTTGGTTGATGCTGTTGACAAAAAGTAAATGGTAACAGCTGGAGATTAATGGTGGTTGAATTTGGCTAGTATTCGTAGAGAACAATAATTATTTAAATATATATATATATATATATATATATTTGGAAGCATAATATTGAAAATCCCGTAGTCATTCTCGACCCATCTTATCTGTCTCACCAATAATTCCCACCGTGATGTTCGATAAAAATAGTTTGTACCAAACTTTACAAAACCAGGATCTCTGTCTTTCAATGGGCCAGAAACTACTTTTACATATTTCCTTATTTGGCTATTTGTTGATTTAATATTTACTAGGTAAATACCTGCATCATATTTGTGTGTGTGTGTTTTTTTTTAACTCAATGACATTTTTTATATGCGCTCACAAAATCAAGTTGCAGTTCATAAGAAGTAGCCAACCCTCATTCATTAACATATTTTTAATTTATCTGCGATTAAGAAGTTTACAGCCACTATTATCATCAGCCTCTGTATAGTGACAAATAGAAATCAACGGCTTTATTTTCGGACAGATTTAACTTTTTCAACTTTCGATCTGTGATTTAAAGTGGGAAACGGGACAGAAGTTTTATTTGAGAGCATATTGGAATATTTCGTGTTTCGATCAGAGTTCTTTCAAGTGGTCTTAAGAAAACTTACGTTCAAAAAGAAATAAAAATGATACGTGTCCTTAAGTGCAATTAGCTTCTGAGCGGTTTATTTTTATCTTATTTTGTGATCTGCATGGAACTGGAATAGACATGTGTATGATTAACCAACTCTCGTCATCGTAATCAACTAATCACTCAAATCTGACAATTAACTCTGGCTCTCATGCCAAGAATAAGATCATACATTAACTATTGAATTTGTTTGCTCACATCTGCTCTACAGGTAGCTCTCAACTCCTGTAGCAACTATGTTCTTCTGAAGCTAGGTATGAATGATCTGAATACTCTCGTGGCTCTGATCGATCCTAGGTTCAAAGAATAGGTCATGAATCTACTCGCATGCAGTATGAACAACTTATAACGGATGAGATCCATAATATGGTTTAGAAACTTAGAAATCCTAGTCGAACATGTATACCTATCGATGACTCCTTAGAAAATTGCTTGTTTGCCGCGGGTGAGAGTCTTCTAGGGCTGATGAATTTGGTCAACTTGCTCTTCACATAACTTTTGATTGCACCGTTGGATTGTCTTGATGTAAAGTGCTATGGAAAGCTGGTTGTCTCCTATTGAATGTCTCCAAATTTGAGCAGGATCAGACGGTGAGAAAATCTTCATTTAAGGCTGAACTTCTTGCGGTCTTACTCTGAGCTAAAAATGTGGATTTCTTCTATTTTGCCATCTTTTTCCCTAAATTTTCCTGAAAAGAGCCTTGAAACTACAAACATAGAAAATCATAATAAAAGTTCCTAAAATTGATTAAACCTTTGAAAAAACATTTGAAATCAATGGTACGGTGTTATCAACTCCCCTAGACTTAGACTTTGTTTGTCCTCAAACAAAACAAGAACCAATCTGAAAAAATATCATCAACAAAAATCACAGGGAACTCAAAAATATCAGCAACGACACTTCTAGACCTTAATTAGGGACAATGCATCAATCATATCAAATCTAGAAAATTCTCACCAAAATACAAACATAATTAATCTGTTAATCCGTCATGCGAAAATCCACACACCTACAACTAACTTCCAGTCAACTAGCTCTTAACATTCATTAAAGGTTTCAGTGATTCTCATCAAAAGAATTTTAAACAAGGCATTCAAGGTTAGGTATCAAAAGGCTTTTTAGTGGTGAGACTTGATTTGTTTAGGGTTACCTTTTTTCTGGAGAGATAGGATATTATGCAAAACAGCAAGAGAGAATGAAGCTGTTGATATCCACAGTTTTCAGTCACATTTTTCTTGCTTTAAGATTTCTGATCTCCTTTCTTCAGGTTCTCCTTATAACTCCCTCAGACTTGGATTTTTGTCTAGGTTGTGAAATCATAACTTCTTAAGTGAATACATATTGCCTTTGCTCAAATGATTTCGGCTTCTACGACTTTGTAGGGTTTTTGTTTCCTTTGTTTTCTTTCTTTTTCTCTTTTTTTGATTTTTTTTTTTTTTGTGGAAAGGGGAAACCGCCTTTTGACTTGGAGTCTTAGGGAGCAAAAAATTTACCTTTAAGAATGAGATTTCTGAAGCATCATGAGGCTTGATAAGATTTCATGGTACACTTCCTTCCCGGTTTCATTCAGTCCTTGATATGTTCATAAATTGCATCATTTAGCTTACATATTTCATTCCAAATCATGTCTTATTTCATGCATTTTAGGTCTTTAGGCATTTATTTAGAACTTAGGAGTTGCATTAGGTCCAAAGGAGCCTTTGTATGGTTTGGAGTCTTAAACAGGTAATTTGGAGTCTGTTTGGAGCAGAAGAGTTGAGACCAGGTGTTTAAATGGAGTTTGGAGGTTCAAAAATGGTGAAATCAAGATTTTGGAGTTTATCAGCTAAGAAATGTACCAGAAGAAGCATTTTATCGGCTGAAAACGCTTACTGGGAAGCTCCCATCGCCAAAACATGTGCCGGGTGGAGGAGGTTTTATCGGGTGATGTTTGTGCCTGGTTCGTAGAAGTATCGGCCAAATTGCTTATCGGGTGCAGTTTTAGTCGGATAAAGGCTGTGCCAGATCAAGTTCTGCTTCAGCTGAGTTTTATGCCGAGATGGGTTGGATTTGTCGGCTAAACTGTCCACCGTGGAACAGATTCTCGGCCAAAAAGCTTATCGCTGTACATGAAGACTCGGTATAAATCTCTGGTTCCCAACACGCTTCAAAGATTACCCGTCCGGGGAGTCTTAACGTCCGATTTGGCTTCCGAGGTCTTCATAAACGTTGGAGAGGATTGAGTTGTGGTTCTATAAAAGTTGGAATCAGTGAATTCGGATCAGTGAGCTGTGAGGTATAGCCATCAGAAGACATGTCTGTCTCGCTTCCTTTCCAAACCGATCCGATGTGCTTCAAAGGTTACGCAGGACGATGCCCTTCCTCTGCACTTCAGTTTCCAGAACTTTCATCAAGATTCAAAAACTTCAAGTCTTCTTTCCAGAACACTTGAGATTACACGATTTGGAGGTCTGAGCTGGGAGATAGCTTTTCCGGAATAAAGACGGGTTCAGAAGCCTTTCACCGGGTCTTTCCGATACACTGCAGAGATCAGCGATCTGAGAGACCTTCCACTCCCCGGATGCCATTTTGTTCTTCACCAAAGTTTTAGATGTTTGAGTGCTATTTCCAATGGAATTTTAATCATGCCATTTGGATCCATATCCTGGATGTTACGCCGCCCCGAATGCGAAGTGGTCCGAGAAGACATGGATTGTGCGAGACGGTTCTGCGACTTAGTCAACTCGCAGCAATGAGAGATGTGGTTCTGGGAAATAGGCTGCGACTGGAGATGTGTAGGTAAGGCAACCCTGTGAAAGACCAAAGACCTCCGAGCTTAAATATGCTAAGTCCACAAGCTGTGCGACTTGGGCATGCGGATTGGCCAAGCAATGAACTGAACCGCACATGTATTCGCTGATCAAACCGAGTTGGGCTTGCGACTTGGAAGTGAAGGAGACCATCTCGCACACAAGTTTGAAGTCCTGCGCTACATGATTGTGCGAGTTAGAGAGCAAAAGAACCTGAACCGCACATATGTTCGCAGTTAAGACCGAAAAGGGAATGCGGTTTAGTTTACAAGGTTCAAACTTGTAAGAACATCTTTCCAGACTTGTGCAAGTTGGGAGTGCCACTTGGAGCTAAAGAAGATCAACTTGCACACATATTTTCTCGAGAATGCGTCTTGGTTGTGCGAGTTGAAGAACAGAAGACCTGAACAGCACATGTATTCGTAGAACAGGCCAGGATAAGCACACTGAAGGAGTTTAGGAGCACAAGACTAGTTCCATGGCTGTGTGACTCAGGCTTGCGGGATGGGAAGCACTTGACCAACTCGCACACTTAGAACTTTACCCATTTAAGCCGTGTCAGTACCCAGTTTGTCCTTGGTTGACCCGGTTCGTTGGAGACACTATATATATGTTTTATGGTTTTTTCTTAAGGTTTATCTCATTTTCCCTTAAGCTTTTTGCCTCTTTTGTGAAAGAACACCTTTTTGAGTGAGAGATCTCCCATTTTCTGTCTAATTAAAAGAATTTTGAGAGCTTTAATCATCTTGTCTTCATCATCTATCATCCATCTATTTATTCTCATCAACTAATCATGCTTATCTACTTATCTTGCAAAGAATTAAAGGAGATAATCATGGTTAGTGAGTAGTCCCCTCATTAGAGTTCTAGATATGTAGGTTAGGGTGCTCTAGGGGTTTGATTAAGCTAGCTTACATCTACATCCATGTTTTCATTTCTCTAAATAGCTGATCTCTATGCTAGATCCTTGCACATCACTTGTGATCTAGAAACTGGGTTTTTCATGCACCAAAAGTGTTTGATGAAATTCCTGAAAGAGTTATATTAGAGGTTTATGCATTAATGCCATGATGATGTTTGTTATTTCATAAATGATCACTTAGGATTGATTCTTAATGCTGTCTTGTTGTTTGATCTCCAATGATGATTGGGTATGTGAAATGGCTTGATCTGTGTCTTGATGCTTGGGAAAGATTAAGGATTGATTAGAATCCTAAATCACTTGAATCATGTTTCATTATTGTCATTAGCTACTTGGTTAAATCCTGAAAAGTACCTAGCCATCTATCATATCCGGAGCTCTAATCCTCATCATATCATATTCATCATCTTGT